AGTATTATATAATTTCTCTGAAGATTGCTATGTTTTTGGGGTATTTTTCGGTTGAGAATCTTTTTTATAACTGAAAATACAAAATTTGTGTGTTATAATTGAGTTTGTTGAGTTATATTAGGAGTCTATTATGTTAATTGATTCACTTTCCGTTTTAAAAACAGTGTAATCCCCTATTTCACGCCTCGAATACAGTCGAATACAATAATCTGTCCAGCTGTAATCCCATGTTTCACTCTATGAATACAGTCGAATACACTCGAATACAACAACTGATTAGCTGGACTTCCCTGATTCACGCCTATTTTTGCTACTGTATTCATGAATACAATAGCTTAAATACATCAAATACATCTTATAACCACATAAAAGGTATCTATAATCCTTAATAAGCAAATGGTATCTATAGATGGCTAATTACTACTAAAAGATAGTGCTTTATGAAAATTTTTCTTTTTTTTATTAGCTGTAAATATTGATTCCATATTTGTTAGTTTGTTATAAGAGAGCAAATAGAATAGCGACAGGTGAATAAGTTAGTTATACATAGATTCCATTCTTTCTTATTTATATAGGTGCACTGTACATATTACATTCATTCAATATACACAGAAAACTTTTTCAATTCTGTCAGTAAGCAAAAATCTTTGTGTCCTACAACAATATCATATACTCACAGCTAAAGTACGTCTTTCTAAATGTGCATACTATACTATTATATATAAGGGGCATCGTCTGTGGAAGTGACAACAAGTATAACTATCATGGCAGAGGAGTTACCACAGAGCTTAAAAGAAAAGAAATGGCAGATAAATTGGGATGCTGTATCTCAAGAACTAAAGAAGACGAGTCGCATTATGGCTCCAATGGTGGCAGTCACTGTGTTTCAGTACCTCTTGCAATTTGTATCAATCGTTATGGTGGGACATCTTGGACAGTTAGCCCTGTCTAGCGTTGCCATTGCCACTTCTCTAACTAATGTCACTGGTTTCAGCCTACTTGTAACTCCTCTCTCTGCATCTTACTGTTCTTTACTCATGTTTGTTTGAGTCGAGCAAACAAGCTATTGTCTCCTTATATGATTTTGGACAAATACTCACCTCATGAGTGCTTCATAGGCAAATTAATTCTGAATTTAAAGTTGGCAGGTTCAACTTTTACGATTCTTACTACTAAATATAGTATATCACACAAATTATAGGTTCAAAATTTAGTATTTGATGAAATCTTAGTAATTGTTCACATGTATATCTATACTTTGTTTTAATAATACTAGGTTCAATTGAACCAAATGTAAATGAACTCCATCGTCCTCCAGCTATCTTTGGGATTGAGTCTATCTTATTAACATGGTATCACAGCAAGATCTACCCCTGTTATTATTTTACACAATGTCGGTCATATTATGTCGTCCACATTCTAGATGTTCAGGCCTAGGCGTTCAGGTGTTGTAGTCTCACATTGGTTGAAGAAATGGACTGTTTGTCTGTTTGTGGTCTTGAATAATCCTTACCTCATAAGCTATTTCTTCGGATTGAGTTAGTCTCAAGGTCTATTTTTCTTGACGTTTCATGCATGAAATCATATTAATTGACTGAGGTTTGTGAATATGAAACAGTCAGGGCAGGTTGGTGGTTTGGAGACACTATGTGGACAAGCTTATGGAGCTCAGCAATATCACAAGCTCAGTACATATACCTACACTGCTATAATTTCTCTGCTTCTTGTATGCATACCAATATGTGTGTTGTGGTTCTTCATGGACAAATTGCTTATATTGATCGGACAAGATCACTCAATCTCAGTGGAAGCGCATAAGTATTCAATGTGGGTAATCCCTGCTTTATTTGGTGGTGCAATTTCTAAACCACTAGTTAGATACATGCAGACACAGAGCTTGATTCTTCCTATGCTTCTATCTTCCTTTGCTGTTCTATGCTTCCACTTGCCCATAAGTTGGGCTTTCATATTTAAGTTGGAGCTAGCAAACATAGGAGCTGCTATCGCCTTCAGCGTATCCTCTTGGTTGTATGTACTATTTCTTGCATTTTATGTCAAATATTCAAGCTCCTGTGAGAAGACTGGAGCGCCTTTCTCCATGATGCATTCCTTGGTATCGGACAATTCTTCCGTTTGGCTGTCCCTTCTGTTGTGATGGTTTGGTAAATATTCGTCTTCTTGAATGAATCCCTCATGCCTGATGATCTATTGGATGCAGTTATTTATTTATGTATTTTCATTTCAATGACTCTTATTTTCCAATATGACTGGCAACACTCTTATTGTAGCCTAAAATGGTGGTCACTTGAGGTGCTTACTTTGCTCTCAGTCCTTTTACCAAATCCAACACTTGAGACATCAGTGATGTCAATATGGTACCATACTCTAATCCACAACCATTTCACATTGGTCATGAATTCGGGATAATTTTCAATAGGAATGCGTCTAATATCGACTCTTGCAGCTTAACAATTTCCACATTACACTTCACTGTACCATATGGCTTCGGAGCTGCTGCAAGGCAGTGGCGGATCCAGGATTTTAAAGTCGTGGGTGCTCACTATAAAAAATTTGAAAGAAGAGGAAAAAAGAGTTTAGTTATGGGTGCTCAATCAATATTTATATAAATATTTTTATAATTACCTATATAAATTTACTAAATCTTGTCAAAGATAATGGGTGCTTGAGCACCCAAAATCAGCATGTAGATCCGCCCCTGCTGCAAGGTTTGACTCAATAACTATCGGCTATGTTCATCAGTGAAAACTCATACAAAATCTTACTCCATTACTTGTTGTCTTAATTTTGAAGTACTCGTATTTCAAATGAATTGGGAGCTGGGAAGCCTCAAAAGGCTCGACTGGCAGTTCAGTTGGTAATGTTTCTCGCAGTCATAGAGACAGTAGTATTAAGGACAAGTCTATTTGGAAGCAGGCGTGTATTGGGAAAAGCATTCAGCAATGACAAGCAAGTAGTGGATTATATAGCTGAAATGACTCCTTTTCTATGTCTGTCCATTATCACAGATAGCTTACAAGCAGTCATCTCTGGTTAGTTTCCAAGCATCCATCTTTTGATGTGTATATTTACTAGCAAAGCACCAACATGGCGGGTAAAGTTCAGTGTCCATACGCAATATTAACCCTGATATATTCCTGAAAAAAGTTTGTACTGCACTTCGACTTAGATATTTTTGTTAAAAAAAAATACAGGTATAGCAAGAGGAAGCGGGTGGCAGCATATCGGGGCATATATAAATTTAGGGGCATTTTATTTGGTAGCAATCCCCTTAGCAGTGGTGTTAGGATTCGTTCTACATTTGAAAGCAAAGGGTATTTGGATTGGAATAGTGGTTGGTTCTTCTGTACAAACCATCATTCTATCTATTGTTACAAGTTTCACAGACTGGGAAAAGCAGGTTCATTCTTTTTTATACCTTTTTTCTTAGTCTTTTCACAGTTTCCTCCTTTCTTTTTTCTGTATTTCTAGTATTTGAAAATTTGGGAATGGACTGTGCAGGCAAAGAAGGCAAGAGAAAGGATACACGAAGGAAGATCTTAGGTTCTATTTTATGCTATTGATTACAAACTCAAATCTGATTAGCTGCAAATCCCATACTTCATATTATCCAAATTTTAGAAAGTAATCAATGTATGAAGGTGCTCCTGCAAACAGTGGCGGATCTAGAATTTTTAAGTCATGGGTGCTGAAACATTATTTATCTGAAAATTACTGTTACGACCGGGTGCTCAAGTAATATATTTATAAGAATTACTAGCTTTTTATATAAATAATAGTTCATTACTCCAAAAGTAATGAGTGCTTACCAATGACCATCAATGTACATTCGCCACTGCCTGCAAAAGGAATATAGTGAGAGCCTTTGGATCTAATTTTAAGTTTTGTAGGCAGAGTTTATGAAAGAAAGAAGCATTTTTAAAAAAAATACTGTCTCTGTTCCAATTTATGTGAACCTATTTCCTTTTTGGTCCGTTCCAAAAAGAATGATCCCTTTCTAGATTTGATAACAATTTAGCTTAAACTTACAATTCTACCCTTAATGAGAAACTTTTATAACCACACAAATACTCTGGCCCCTTTTTGACTTGTTTAGGACCACAAATTCTAAAAGTTTTCATTCTTTCTTAAACTCTGTGCCCAGTCAAACATAAATTGGAACGGAGGGAATACTATACTTAATAAGTTCATTATTTATAGTAAAACTTCAATTTGGTTCCTAAGTAGGCCCAAAATTCGGAATTTAGTCCTCAACTTGTTGTGTAAATTCCAATCGCATCCAGATGTTTGAGGTATGAGAGATGGACTTGTAATTGGTTGATTTTCATCCAGATTCCTTTTAAAAAATATAATAAGATAAAAGGCGTAGTGTTAGAATAATAGCACTTAAAAGGCAAGCGTGAAATTATTACCAAGAAAAACAGGGAGCTGTTCAAGGTTCCAAGGAGTGAATTTGGTGGGAACACAATTCCATGTCTAAAGGAGGTGAATTACAAATTGATAATTTGCCCATAGAGAGTAAAGAAAGTTTTCTCCATATATTCTTTTGACATACAATTTGGATTATATGATCTTCTCTGTAAGAAGAAATGAAGAATGCAATTTATTTCATATTCCATTAATATAAAAGTAGATAATTCAACTTTGGTGTCTGTGTTTTAACGCAAAAATGGGTGCAACAAGCCAACAAAGAAAGAAAAACCTTGAAAAAGACAAGCAAACAAACAGGCAACAAGGACATAAAAAACCTTGAAAAAGTGCACGTTGGGGGTAGCAATATACAAAATATAGTTAACTAATTCTTATACCTATCCAAGTGGTTAGAATCCTTATAATTTAATGGTGAAAACAACATATATTGGCCTTTGAAAGATGGTTTCTTGCAGGTCATACAAGTGGGAGCCTTTAAATAGTCCAGATCGAACAAAAGACAAAATGGGAATTTGCTAATACAGCTAAAACTGTATAGCAGATAACATATATAAATAATGGCAAAAAAGGTGACCCCGAGATAATATTTTTAACAAGTATCCAACAAATAAGCAAGCATCTTTCTGTCACGTGTTAGGAACAACATAGAATTAGTAGTAATTGTGCATTGGTTCTTCGTCTGTTGGAAGTGACAACAAGTAGAACTATCATGGTAGAGGAGTTGCCACAGAGCTTGAAAGAAAAGAAATGGCAGATAAATTGGGATGCTGTGTCTCAAGAACTGAAGAAGACGAGTCGTTTTATGGCTCCAATGGTAGCGGTCACAGTGTTTCAGTACTTGTTGCAAGTTGTATCAGTCATGATGGTGGGACATCTTGGAGAGTTAGCGTTGTCTAGTGTTGCCATCGCCACTTCTTTAACTAATGTCACTGGTTTCAGCCTGCTTGTAAGTGCTCTCTACATATTAATGTTCCATATGCATTAGTGTCTCACGTTGAGGGAATGTGCTATTGTGTCTGTATATGCTGACCTCATGAACTTTTGGAGTTGAGTTACAACCAAAATTCATTTTCTTATCAAAGGCAGAATCATTCCAATTCTTGGTTTACCCGTTGTCGGTCCCTCATGCTATGTCGTTTACGCTCCAAATGTCCAGGCCTGGATGGGAGGGAGGGCGGAGGTGTTAGAATCCCAATGGAATAGACTGTTGCCTCTTTTTATGATTTTGTACCCGCATCATGAACTAATTTTTGGGTTGAGTTAACTTCGACCGAAATCTTATATATATATATATATATATATATATATATATATATATATGTATGTATATGTATATATATATATATATATGTATGTATATGTATGTATATATATATATATATATATATATATATATATATATATATATATATGTATGTATATGTATACCTTGAAAATGGTTAATTTAAATAAGTTGACACCCTACACACTAAAAGCCTTTCGGGGGCACTGGCTGAGTAGAATACTGGTGCCCTCGCGTTAAAATACTGGGTCCGCCTCTGGGTCCAAAGTCTTTTTTTTTTTTATATATAAAATGTTCATCCATAAAAATAGTAATGATTTACTGAGGTTTGTGAACTTGGAACAGACAGGGCTGGTTGGTGGTATGGAGACACTATGTGGACAAGCATACGGAGCTCAACAATACCATAAACTCAGTACATATACCTACACTGCTACAATTTCTCTGTTTCTTGTATGCATACCAATCTGTGTGTTGTGGTGCTTCATGGACAAATTGCTAATATTGACGGGACAAGATCATTCAATCTCAGTGGAAGCGCGTAAGTATTCATTATGGGTAATCCCTGCTCTTTTTGGTGGTGCAATTTCTAAACCACTAACTAGATACTTGCAAGCGCAGAGTTTGATTTTCCCAATGCTTTTATCTTCCTTTGCTGTTCTATGCTTCCACTTGCCCATAAGCTGGGCTTTGATATTTAAGTTGGAGCTAGGAAACATAGGAGCTGCTATAGCCTTCAGTATATCCTCTTGGTTGTATGTCCTATTTCTTGCATCTTATGTCAAACTTTCAAGCTCCTGTGGGAAAACTCGAGCGCCTTTCTCCGTGGAAGCCTTCCTTGGTATTAGACAATTCTTCCGTTTGGCTGTCCCTTCTGCTGTGATGGTCTGGTAAATATTCATCTTCCTGAATGATCCTGAATGAATGATCAATTGGATGAAGTATTTTTTTATTTATTTGTTTGTTTGTTGTTACCTCAATGACTCTTATTTTTCATTATGGTTCAACTTATTGTAGCCTAAAATGGTGGTCATTTGAGGTGCTTGCTTTGGTATCAGGCCTTTTACCAAATCCAAAGCTCGAGACATCAGTGATGTCAATATGGTACCGTATTCTAATTCACAACGCCTATTCAATATTGGTGAACTTTGGGAGAATTATTTCAATAGAAATGTTTCTAATACAGTATCTCATTTTGTTCACACACAGCATAACAATTTCTCAATTACACTTCAGTATACCATATGGCTTTGGAGCTGCTGCAAGGTTTGACTCTATAAGTATCAAACATGTCCATCAGTAGCAAAAACTCATACGAAATAATCTTACTCCAGTTCTCTTGTTGTCTTGATTTTATTTTAAAGTACTCGTGTTTCAAATGAATTGGGAGCTGGGAATCCTCAAAAGGCTCGAATGGCAGTTCAGGTAATAATGTTTCTTACAGTCATAGAGACACTAGTGTTCAATACAAGTCTGTTCGGGAGCAGACATGTATTGGGAAAAGCATTCAGCAATGAGAAGCAAGTGGTGCATTATATAGCTGCAATGACTCCTTTTCTTTGCCTGTCCATTGTCACAGACAGCTTACAAATAGTCATCACTGGTTAGTTTCCAGGCATCTAGCCGTTATGGTCACTGAAATTTACCTACTATAACAATAAAGTGATAAAGCTATTTTTTGTAACATTAAATAATGAATACTCAGAAAATACGAACGACCGGAATGTTGGACACATCACTCTCCACATCACCAGCTTTGCCACTGTCAATTCCATATCAAAAAGTAAACAAAAAATGAAAATCCACTGTGTAAAATTTTATTTCAGTTTTAGTGGTAATTAACTCGCATGATATTATGTTTTCCAAAAAAAGATTTTGCACTTGGACTAAGATTATTTTTTCTTACGAAAAACAGGTATAGCAAGGGGAAGTGGGTGGCAGCATATTGGGGCATATATAAATCTAGTGGTATTTTATGTGATAGCAATCCCTTTAGCAGTGGTGTTGGGATTTGTTGTACATTTGAAAGCAAAGGGGCTTTGGATTGGAATAGTGGTTGGTTGTGCTATACAATCCATCGTTCTGTCTATTGTTACAGGTTTCACAGACTGGGAAAAACAGGTACATTCTTTTTACTTTTCTGAAAGTCTTTTCATAGTTTCCTCGGTTCTTTTCTTATAAAATTTGGCGAATGGACTATGCAGGCAAAGAAGGCAAGAGAAAGGGTTCACGAAGGAAGATCTTAGGAAGACAAGAGATCATTTTTGTGTAACATATTTCTTGGAGTAGAATGGGATCATTTCCTTTGCGCAATGGCTACTTATTACGCTATTCAAGTGTTTACGCTAATTATTGTACATCTGAATTGAAAGTGTTCGTAAGAGAATCTGTTGCATCCACTAGTGACGCGCACAAAAACAACATGAAATTATTGCTCGCTAGTCAAAGATAGTATAGTTTAATTATCGTCTCCATAGGTATTTGATTTAAACAATGTTCGAATAATCTTTAGCTAATTGCTATCTAGGAAAATTAACATTGATTTGAATGTTTATCAACTACAATTAACTACTAAAATTTAAGCAATTATCAATTGAGCACGGAAGACAAGAGTTGAGCAACACAAAAATATCAGTAAGAGAAATAAGGGTAATTGACTAGACAGGTGCAAGATTCTTGACTCAGGATCCAATTTTTAAAGTAGTTCACTCTATAATAGTGTTGATTCTCGCGAATTCACCGGATGCTGAAGTTAAGGTTTCTTTTTCGATTAAACGTTAATTCCCAGAAATAATCCAATTGAAGCACTGTGAATACTTGCTATGAACATAATGATGGTTTTAGTCTAAAGGGTAACTTTTCACGAATATTTCCCTATTTTCTAGTTCGATTAATAATTCAAAAGGCTCTTTCGATTACCTAGTTGAATCACGAATTTAAATTAGAGCATAAGATGTAAAGAAATTCAATATAAAGTTCCTCTTTCAATTAAGCAGAATAATAAACAACTTCACAATACAATTCAAAACCCCATCAATTGATTCAAGCATTTGTCAACAATCGAATCCATAATCATTTTATCAATACACCATGTTTGTTAATACCCTAAGGGAAAACTACTTCATAGCAATGGAAAAAGTCATCTCAAGAAGGTTTAAAGACATAGAAAATATCAATGTTAATGATTCGATACAAACTCCCATATTGCACCTACTGTTGGTTGAAATCTTGATGAATTCTTGTGTCTTCTTGCCTTAGTTGCTTTTCAAATCTCTCGTAGGTCAAAGTCCCTTGAAAATGTATTTTTGGTGTACTTATACCATGTAGAGGCGGGTCCGGATGGAACTACCCTTTCCAAGCCGAAGTGGGAAATTACTCTAAGAAAATTGTACAGGTGCGGTGTGCCCCGCGACGCCCCATGCGCCGCGCCAATGGGTATTTTCAGAGGCTTGTTTATGATAGAGTTTCTCCGGCTGCACTGCCGCACCGCGCCTCGCGGAGCCCTATGCGGCACGGTAGTGCAAATTTCTCATAGTAACTTTTTTCTTCTACTTTTTTGATATCCAGATGTAACGACCCGGCCGGTCGTTTTGAGTGTATTAGTCCCGATCCCCTATTTATTGCTTCCACTATTTCATTTTATGGTTACGTGACTTGCTAGGGTGTTTGGTTTGGTTTCGGAGTGAAATGGGACATATAGTCCCTAAAATAGAAGTTTAAGTCGTAGGAGTTGACCGTAGTTTGAATTGTGTGAAGACGACTTCGGAATGGAATTTTGACAGTTCCAATAGCCCCGTATGGTGATTTTGGTCTTAGGAGCGTGTCCGGTCATTGATTTGGAGGTCCGTAGGTCGTTTCAGCGTGAGTTGGCGAAAGTTGAAAAGTTGGAGGATTTTGGAAAGTTTGATCGGGAGTTGACTTTATCAATATCAGAGCCAGATCTCGATTCTGGGATTTGGAATAGGTCCGATATATCAAATATGACTTGTGTGCAAAATTTGGTGTCAATTGGAGTTATTTTGGTATGAATCAGTGTCGGTTCCGGAATTTGGAAGTTCATAGTTGCTTAAGCTTGAATTTGGGTTGCGATTCGTTGAATACATGTTGTTTGATGTGGGTTTTGGCCTCAAGTAGGTCCGTTAGGTGTTTTGGAACTTGTTGGTATATTTGGACGGGGTCCCGGGTGCCTCGGGTGTAATTCAGACCTTGTTCGGCGCATTTCGGATCATTGTGGAATTGTAGAAAATTTGGTTCTCTTCGGTTCTGGTTTCCTCTTACGCGATTGTGAAGCCTTGTGACTGGCAGTTGTGGTTTTGTTCTATGCGATCGCGTGAAGGTATACGCGATCGCGTAAAGGCATACGCGATCGCGAATCTTGAGAGGCCAGTGAATCGCGAACGCATGGCAATTGCCGCGTTCGTAGTGAAGGAAGAAGGCACCTGGGCAGGTGGATGCTTTAGGTCGCGAAGGTGTGCACGCGATCGCGTGGCTTTGGAAAAGTTCTCTCCGCGTTCGCGACCAGTGTTCCGATTCGCGTATAAGGTTTTAAGCTGTTGGTAATTTTGTTCTTCGTGATCGCGAAGGAATTTTCGCGATCACGTAGTGTAAATAACTGGGCAGCAGACCTAAGTTTCAAAATCGAGGATTTATTTCATATTACACAAAGGCGAATTTTCGAGGGATTTTCAGAGGGGTTGTTGGGTAAGAGTTCTCAACTCGTTTTTGATTAAATTCTACTAATCTATCATTGATTTCTTCATTTAATTAGGGATTTGGGTTGAAAAGTGGGGGGGGGGGGGGGAAGGGAGGATGGAGGAAACTTCTTAGGCCGAATTTTGGGAATTTGAGCGAGATTTTGGTATCATATTTGTGTAATTCTTGTATGGTTGGACTCGATATCGAATGGGTGTTCGAATTTTATAATTTTTGTTGGGTTCCGAGATGCCGGCTCGGGTAGACTTTTTGGGTCGATTTTTTTTTTCTTTGCTAAGATCATTATTTCATTATTTAAATTAGTATCCTATAGTTATATTTATAGTATGAAATTATTTTGGCTAGATTGGAGCCGTTCGGAGTTGAAAAATCGAAGGAAAGGCATTCTAATTGATTGATTTGGCGTGGTTTGAGGTAAGTGACTTGTCTAACCTTGTGTGGGAGAAATTCCCCTTAGGATTTGGTACTGTTGTGATAAATTGTGATATATAAAGGCTGTGTACGCAAGGTGACGAGTGCGTACACGGCTAAATATTGGAATTCCAGTTTTAGCTACGTAATTTCTTTTTCATGCCTTAATTTAGTTACTTTAGCATGTTATAGTCATCATGTTTAGCCTAGTTTCACATGTCTACTTGCCTTATCTCCTATTTGCAACTTGTACTACATGTTTAGTTGAATCACTTGTTTTCTTGATTTTGTATCCATTATTTAACTGTGGAATTCTTTACTTGAAGTTGCTATCCTTGAAAAATCTTGCTGTTGAGTTTGGTGTTGAGTTCTTGCAAAGGCCATGGTTTCTATTGAGACAAGGTGTAAGTTGTGAAATTTCATTTGATTTAGTTGTTATGTCTTGGCTTTCGTGTTATTGTTGAGGTGATTAATTGGTTATTTGCACGAGGTTTTTGCCGTGCTATTGTTATTGTTTGCACGAGATTTCTACCGTGCTGTTATTTTTGTTTGCACGAGGTTTCTTGTCACGACCCCACCCCGGTCGTGATGGCGCCCAACATACTGCTAGGCAAGCCCGACCAATTTAATAACCTTACCATTTTTTATCCAGTTCATGAATTAATTAACACAGATAAATTACTAAGTCATAATACTAAAATAGAGTTAAAACATGCGGAAATCCCAAATATCAATACTACTACACAGCCCGAAGAATCCGGTGTCACGAGTCTGAGCCTCTAATACATGAGTATCAACCTACTACATGTCGTTCTAAAGAAATACGAAAATAAAACAATAAGATAGAAGGGAAGATCAGGACTGCGGACGTCATGCCGCTACCTTGATACTCCCGGACAAGCCGCTCGGCAGAGAAGTCCTCACTCAGCCTTAGATGCACCTGGATCTGCACGCATGGTGCAGGGAATAATGTGAGTACTCCGACCCAGTGAGTAATAAACATAAATAAAGGCTGAGAATAAGGAATCCTGAATAGGCACAAAGCAATCTATAAATGCAGTAATTTAAACCAAGTAGTATAAAGTCAGTAACCAATGGAAACAATTATGGAAATACTGCAACAGATAAGCAAATAAATGACAGTCAATGTGAAATGCAACACATAGTCTGGTACTCTCAAGTACCCGTTGCGGCGTGCAGCGCGCTCCATTTATTTATCGTCGACGGCACTCACTGGGGGTGTGCAGACTCCGGGAGGGGCCCCTTACGGCCCAAGCGCAATATAAAGCCATCTCGTGGCATCAACTAGGCCCTCGGCCTCATATCAATATCAATATAACACCGCTGCGGCGCGCAGCCCGATCCCGTACTCAGTCCAGAATCACATAAGCCCCTTGGGCACAATAATATATAAATATTCAGCCCAAACTTCATTAGAAATATTATTTAAGTTTCAAGTTTGAGAAAAAGTGGCTGAGTTTGCAAAAGTGTATTAAATACTAGGGCTGAGTTCAATTATATGTAAAAATGGTAAGAAACCAGTAATAGCAATCCCTGAAGGATCCAGTCAGTGGGCGCGAGGCCCAAAATATAGTAATCAGCTCAAATTACAATGATAACAAGTGATATTCAGTCAAATACGCTGTAAATTCATCTATCGGGACGGACCAAGTCAAAATCCCCAACGGTGCTCTACCCCACGCTCGCTATCCGGCGTGCAAGTCACCTCAATATAGCACTACGATGTGCAAATCCGGGGTTTCAAACTCTCAGGACATCATTTACATCTATTACTCATCTCAAGCCGGCCAAAATCCTAGTTCGCTATGCCCTTGCCTCTCAAATCGACCTCCTCGCACGTCGAATCTGACCAAAACCACAACGAATACGTCACAATATGCCAATGAAACAATACCCAATCGAAAAATATCAAAAATCTCGAAATTAGCAAAACCCGAGCCCCGGGCCCACTTCTCGAAAATCAGAAAACTTTACATCAACGGGTTCCTTATCCCGCCACGAGTCTACACATATAAAGATTACCAAAATCGGAGTCCAAATGACCCCACAAATCCCAATTTTTGCTCTCTTAAGTTTCAAGCCCTAAACCACCATTTTTGCCCATTAATTACTTGAGTTTTCAGCTCTAATCCATGTATTTACAGCATAAAATCGTGTTTTAAGTCCAAGAATCCATACCTTATCAAAACCCCTTGAAATCCCTCTTCAAAATCGCCCACAATCCTCCAAGTCCGAGTTAAAAATATGAAACCCT